AGATCTAACCGTTCATTTTTTTTTTGTAGATTCTAGAATATTCATCTAGATCTAACGGTCTAGATTTTCTTTGTGCTTTTCTAGGTCTTTTTGACCGTTTTTTTTTAATAATTTATTATTATTATTATTATTATTATTGTTAGTATAATTATTTGTTAATATTATTATTATTACTAGTTTACTACTACTATTATTATAATATTATTATTATTATTATTATTATTACTATTATTGTTATTATTATTATTATTATTATTATTATTAGTTTATTACTTATAAGTTATAAATTGTAAGAAACGCAAATGTTTCAAAATTGAAATTGATTCAATACGACATAGTTAATGACTTAATGAGTTAATGGCTTAATGCTCATCAATATGACAATATCTGACATCTGTGAGTCTGTGATTGTATATCAGTATATATAATAAACTATAAAACTAATAATAACTTAATAAGTAATAATACTAATAACTAATAAAGTAATGAAAATCTAACCATTGTTTTTCATGGGCATTCAATCTAACCGTTGTATATTTGACTATTCGTACATTAGTATTGCATAATGCTTTCATCACCACTTTAATTAGTGATTTCGTGATTTCGTCCATTTAACTTATTAAGTTGTTTGAGTTAGTAATCTAAATAAAGTAACAAACTAAATAACGAATCCATTTAATCTCGTGTAAGTTATAATTTATAAGAAATGCAATGTTTGGAAATGGAAATTGATTCAATACGATATTGTTAATGTATATGTAATTATATTATTATGTATATGATGTATATCATATCGTACGAATGTACGGTTGGTATCATTATCATACTATCATAAGTATCATTGCCTCATTGAATTATTGGTATGTACTATAATCGATAAACATATTTAGTTATTTACATATCTGATCATTAAAACTTAAAAGTTTAAAACACTTGTTGATCAATCTAATTGAATACTTGTACATTCTTAATTATCGATTTATCGTATTATAAGTATCAACTCATTAAATCATGGTCATGATTTCGTCCATTTAACTTATTAAGTTGTTTGAGTTAGTAATCTAAATAAAGTAACAAACTAAATAACGAATCCATTTAATCTCGTGTAAGTTATAATTTATAAGAAATGCAATGTTTGGAAATGGAAATTGATTCAATACGATATTGTTAATGTATATGTAATTATAGATTAATTATTATGTATATCATATCGTACGAATGTATGGTTGGTATCATTATCATACTATCATAAGTATCATTGCCTCATTGAATTATTGGTATGTACTACAAATCTACAATCGATAAACATATTTACATATCTGATTATTAAAACTTAAAAGTTTAAAACACTTGTTGATCAATCTAATTGAATATTTGTACATTCTTAATTATCGATTTATCGTATTATAAGTATCAACTCATTAAATCATGGTCATGACGCGATCTTTAAAACAATCATGAATTCAATTCATGACCCAAACCGCTTATAAACCGAACCGACATGATCCAAACCGTTCATAAACCGAACCAATTGAACTGTGTAAACCCTCTACTAAACCGGCCCATTTCAAACTGAACCGACATGATTCGCACCGTTTATAAACCGAACCGATATTGACCCGGGTAAATGCCCTAAACCGACCCATTTCAAACCAAACCGGCTTGATCCAAACCGTTTGTAAACCGAACTGACATTGACCCGGGTAAACCCGCCCCTTAAACCGACCCGTATCAAACCGAACCGACATAATCCGAATCGTTTATAAACCGACCCGCTTATGACCCAAACCGAATTTAAACCGCAAAGAAATTAACCGAAACCAAACCGAGCCGTGACTAACCCAAACCGAACCAAACCGACCCGCCAGCTAAACTAAACCGTTTCAATCCGAACCGCTCCAAACCGAAACCGACTCAAACCGAGGTTAAACCGAACTGCCAGACCGAAGTCCCACCCCTAGTTGAGATGTATCATTTTTCCCACAAAGTTTTAAAGGGAGAATAAATTTTTATCAAAAAAAAAAAAAACAAAAAAATAAAAACACTATATTTATTTTTTGTAACAAAATCAACTTTTCACCGTAGGCGTAAAAGTAGTTGTTACATTACATAAATGCAAGTCCAACTAGTCTCTACCTGTGTTTGTTCACTACCATCTTTTCATCATTGGAATAGTAAGAAGTGTCCCAACTGCAAGGTACAAGAGATGCCGTGAGTTTTATGGAACTTGCAACTTTTTTTTGGTCTACTTGTCAAAATACAAGATACCATGATAAATAGATACACTATGGTACATACATGACCAATCAAAGATGCCTTCTAGAGGTGTCAAATTTTGCTTATAATATCACTATAACATATCTATCTGATATATCATATATGTCATCACCACCAAAATATATCTATCTATCAACATCAATGCATAAGGTTAGGGTACCGACATACGTATTCCTTTTTTTTTTTTTTTTTTTTTTGACAAAGATTGCATATAATAAAAGGCATAGATTACAACCTATAAGAGCTAAACAGAACTACATTACAACAAAAAACATCAAACCACACGCATAACCAACAAAGGAAGAACTTATGAACTATAGCTGAGGCAAGACGCTAAACTCATCCCATAAACTTGACTCATTAGTAGACGATTATGCATAGCGGTAATGAGAATTTAAGTATAATTTCACCTGTAAAGTACCAAGTAACTTGTACAGTAATAGATGGTAATAAAAATTTGTGCATTTGTTTTTTGAATTTCAAATACATTGACAGAATAGTTCTAGATTTTTCTAACAATTTTATATACAAATTCACGAGGACAACCTTACTTTATAGAGAATTACTCCTACATTGAATTACAATTTTGCAAAAAGGGTATAAGCCATATAACATGCTCTAATATAATAGCATTAAAGCATCAATATTTGCAAATTCTTCGAAGCTAGTCCAGAGAATACAATGTGGATAGGTTCATCCTTTTTGACTACCAAAATCTGAATATTCGTTGGGACAGTTCCCTGGAATTCTCTCTGTACTTCGTATAAGACATTGACAGGGCATCGACCTCAATTAATATCGCCTTCCACCTTTTCCATGAAACTATGTGGATGATACAAAAGTTTTCTTAAGTGCGTGACCAGCATATCACTTTATTTCATCTTCCACAAACAACACTTTTCTTTATTCTATCTTTTCAGAACATTTGTGTGCTTCATCTGAGTTAACGCTTGTTTAGTAGGCACTACCAGGTGTTCTCCCCACCCTGTAACCAAAAATAAATACAATAACCAAAGCTCTGTGAATTTTGTGATAAAACGGAGCTTGATACAAATTCGGGATTGCTGCCACACTTGCAACTCTCAGTCTTCACAGTCAGTAATCCTGGCACTATGTATCAGCAAACCTGCATGGTATTGGTATTGGTGCAGCAGATAAATAATTGGATCCAGCCACTAACAAAGTCTGTGTAGGTTCATACGTATACAGTGTAAAACTACAATTATTTGCAAAAAAGACTAAAAAAAAATTCACTGAAAGACACCCCTTTCTCTCAATACTAATGGAAGTTAATTACTGTATTTATAAGACAGGTAATGAAAGAAATATGGTACCTTGGGGCAAAATGATGAACAATGTTCTCCGGCACAGAAATTAAGTCGCTTCAGCTGGCTTCACTCCATCAGAACTAATGAAGAATGGACAGATCCTTGATTCCACAACAGTGATCCAGATCTCCCTTGCCTACTTCTGAGCTGTCTTTACCAAAAACGGCGCATAGTTCTGATTTCACCACATCACTACAGTGAAACAAAGTGATAGAAGGGACTAGTTTGCATAGTAATGGGTGGAGAATTGGAGATCAGTTGCATCCAGATTCCAGCATGTACTAGAAGTTAAAAGCTACTGATCTTTAGGTTCACAATTGACTTGCCCAGATAAGCATTATAATAAAAATTATAAAAAATAAAAAGAAGAGAGATAGATAACTCTCATAACTCATACAACATATTTAAGAATCAAATTGGCCACATAGAAAAGACTTACTACACCTCATGGCTCATGCTATGCATACATTATGTCAATTAAAGCTTATCGTGATGAATCAGATAGCAAAAAAGGAAACAGAAGATTCTTCTTAAACTTTTAATACAAACACTGAAGACGAAGATGCAAAGTGACTTCAGGCACCACACATAATTAAAAATTTACAGAGTAAATGAAGAATGTAGGTCTAGCGAGAAAGTGGGTGCAGTAGACAACTCCTGTCCCATTTCATAGCTCACCTCTGAACCACTATCCACCACAATGCAACTCACAAGGTGCTGGGCTTCTCAGGCATTCTCCTTGATTGAACAGCAACAATGCTAAAAATAGTTCTGACCTGCATTCTCTTATATAGAACTATAAATATAAAGACCAGTCAAGCAAATAAACAATAGCATAGTGAGGTTGAACATAATCTAATTATGGTTCACCATACATGCAAACGAGATTTTCATTCTAAAAGTAAGAGAATCAAGACACACAGCTAATTTCCAGCTCGAGTGAGAGATTGGCAAATTGACTCCATATAAGTCATCTGTCAGGCCACTATATAGAAACGGACAAACCAAAATTGCGTGCATAAAGGAAGATCAACTAGAACCTCAATGTCCTCAAGTAGCACATAACAAGAGTTGAATGGTGACTTTATGTAATGCAACTTTCTTCTTTCTGTACGACTGCATGCCACAGGTGGCTATAACGGATGGCCATGTTTGAACCCCAAAGTACACTCAAGTAAACAACACAGGCTTTTGTTACTTACATGGAAGTTCAAATGTATCGAGAAACAGCTGAGTAGTAACTGTCAACCAGTTCATAAGGTAATCCAAAGTGAGGTCTCCAAGTATATATGCAGCTATATTAAAATAATTTCTACAAGCTTCTGAAACTAAGGAGTACAGAACAAGTAGAAAAGAAATCACAGGATAATATTATAAAATAAACTCATTCTTCTCTATAGAAGGTAAAATTCCTTTATTCCATTTTAAGGTGCTCAAAGGAAACAACAAAATCTACAATTTGTCAATTTTCTTCAACAATGGTAGCCAGTAGCCACTATAGAATGCAGCTAAGGGGAAAAGAAGGAATTTCCTCATCTCCAAACAGGATAGATAAATTACATACTTTATCATATAAAAACAAATAAAAAAAAACTCCTAAATGATTGACCATTAACAGGAAGTAAAGGGAGACAGATTGCCTACAGAGCACTTGAAGGGAAGCCTTTATACAGAAGGCTTCACAAGTGAGTATGAACAACTGCTACATGACACCATGAAAACCAGCTGAATCCAACAACACCGCTTTGATCTGCTCAGGCAAGATTTCATTCCCTTCCCTGCATTGCTGATTGCAAAAAATAAGAATTGTGAATGTCTGTCCCTTTAATTGCTGCTAAGCCATATATTTGAAACTACCTCTATTTATTAAAATTATTCCAAATAGCAATTGCTGCCATCTGGAAACATTGCCTAAGACTCTAGGAGCATAATACCCAACTCTTTGGAAGTTTGGATAACAGTCAAAAATCAAAAGCATTTTAAAATTTAGGGGACAAATAAGATTTATAGGGGCAACAGGGAATTTTCATATTCTCAAAGCAAAACTAAACCAAATATACATGCACATATAAATTAATAATTTAATACAGCATAAGCAGAAATAAGTCTCTTTTCACAAGAATTTGATAAGGCGGATCTCATTCAGTGAAGACAAGTTGACTTAAATCAAGCTATTCAATCCAATATTGCCGTAGATAATTGTTAAATAATATATCCTTAGTTCCTTACCTCCGCTCGAAATATATCCAATGCAAATCCATTGAAACAGCTAATAACACCTTGCTGAATATCCAGCCCAAGGTTCTCCAAAGCTTCTAAAGTGGACAGCAACAGACCAGGTCTACGAGCACAAAACAAGTGGATATTAACTGCCCTTCCTTCTCCAGCACTGACTTCAATCTATACATAGTGAAAGGAAACATGGAACCATTTAGATTACAAGACAAATGGCCTATATAATTCCAAAAATTAGCCCCAAGCATCAAATTGAAAAGCCAGGGAGCAATTAACTTCTACTGATGCACTATGCTATATTTTTTTGTTCTGCAAGGTCATTGATTTTTACTATACAGAAAACTAATATTTACTGATTACTAAACTGAATGTTACTGTAACGAAATTCAAAACCCAAAAAAAAAAAAAAAAAAAAAAAAAACCTTGAGGCAGTTGTCAAGCCTTAGATAGTTCCACACTTTAGGAAGAAAAACTTCTGTAAGGACTGTTTAACAAGATTTATCCAATGAATGAAAACATTAGGTGTTTTTTTTTTTTTTTTTTTTTTTTGAACAATGAAAAACATTAGGTTTTACTGGCATATTATTAATATTCCCTTGATCATTACTTTTCTTCATCAAATAAGAAGAAAATAGCATAATATTTAAGTTCAGATTCACTAATTGTTATACTTGACTAAGTTAGCCCAAAATCACTAGTGATTCTTGATTGCTAAAAAGCCAGAGAACATGACATGACAATGGATCAACCTTCCAACTTTTTTGGGGAAATTGATTATCAATGTTATCAATAGAATAAATTATTCTCTATAATGTATGATCAATGGGTGGACAATGTACAAGCAAGCAATCAGGTTTCATGACCAGCTTCTAAGAAGGGTTATGCATAAATAAACAATGAGTAACAAAAGGACTCTACAGCAGTTTCTACAAAATCATTCACTGACAGTAGCTTTTCCAGGGACAAGGTGAGCAGTATCATAAAATTGAGTGGTTATAGTCTATAGCTTTTCATGTGTTTGATCAGCCCATTGCATACTTCTAGACTTAGGTGGTTAATGTGCTAATCTAGTTGGCAGAATAAGATTCATGGCTATGGCATTTCATCTGCAAAATCAGCCACAGTTTTCTGATTGCTATGGCCATAATACTTATGAGACACTAAATCCCAGAAACCTCCCACCGACCATAGGTAGACTAGCCATGTAATGATTGATATCTGAAACATTGATTAGTCAGACTAGGCACATGAAAAGAATATTACACCATCAACCTCGTTTCTTACACTGTAATTGACCCCCTCCTTCGAGTCCTTCCCACCAAGTTCCTAGTTACCTGCAATCACTTCAATGTCTCTTGTTACTTCCAAGGCTTCAAGGGCTTTAACTAGCATGCATAGTTGGAATGTGATAATCAGCTGTGTTCCATGAATTCGTATCGATCTCCCCTTGTTCCCATGTTAATTTAAAAGCTACAAGTGATAATAAAATAAAACTTTGGCTTTGAGTACTGAACTAAACTTGTCACCACAGATTAATCACAAATTTCTGAGAAAATTCTCAAGCTGCCTAAGGGGATTCTTCATACCATCTATTAAGGAGAAACTTCACTCTGTACATTACCTTGGATGAGAAGTGTTTTTATATTTTTATTTTTAATAAAGATACAGTACTAATTTAAATACTTGGACATCATTTAAATAACCCCCATATCATATTAATTTTACAGAAAGGTCATAGATCCTACAATGCTACATATCCCAGTCTATTGCATCACAGATTCACAGCAACCAAGCCATCGGAAACTAACCCATCCATTATGTGCAAAGGCCTAAATGGACCTGTTTTCCTAGTACACTTTTCATACCAGATAATTCAATCATGTCCAACATTGTTTTAGAAAGTCAAGAGTGGAAGTTTCCATTTATACTCCACATTAGCAACCATGTAAATCTGATAAGAAAGTACATTCATCAGCTACTAATAGAAACCCCAATATGGTACCAATCTGACTCAAAGAATTAACACACACCCAACCCCCCCCCCCTCCCCAAAAAAAAAAAAAAAAGAAAGAAAAAAAACGACGACTTAATAGAAGAATAGAATATATAAGTATTTAACCCATAAGGGAATGAGTTTTAACTTTCCATGAATATAGAATTAAAGAGTCCAAGTTTTATCACCATAGAGTATAAAGCAGATCCATACAAATAACTTCATTTTTATCACCAGAAATAAATAATAATAATAATAATAATAATAATAATAATAATAATACTTCTTCAGTTTTTATTTACTTGCTAGTGGCACACACTTTGAAGTCAAGATTATATAACGTAAACACACAAATTATTCAAAATAACTTTTACACATAATACCAAGACCTGTCAATCGGGTCGAGTGATTCGGGTCGCTCCGGGTCACGGGTCATTTCGGGTCGGCTCACTTCAGGTCACGAGTCGAGAAATGCTCAACCCTAACCCAAAGTTTTGGGTTCAGGTAAACCCAATGGGTTTAGAACAATTTTTTATTAAAAATTTTTTGGCTTATTTTTAAAAAATTCTGATTTTTTAAGCTTACTTTGCTATTTTTTTTTCCAATTTTTTAATCGAATATTTTCATCATATTATTTTTATCCATTACATACTACATAATTTAAATCGTCACCATTTCACCAAAAGCACATCAAAATGATTTTTCTAATAATACCTAACCCTTTTCTAATCCTTGTGTTAAAATTAATTTGATAAAATCATTCGTTTACCTTCTGTAATCACCTCCTAAAACTGCATGCCTAAAAGGTGTGTTGCAAGTAAAACAAAAAAAAAACAAAGGAAGTAGATAGATAAGGAATTAAAGAGGAAAAAAACAAAAATATTAAATAAAATATAAAAAAAACATCATGCATATAGATATGAGGTTCCATGAAAATCGACCTAACTCCATGCCTTGGCAAAATATAGCTATAATTCCGGTTATTGAGGTAATAGATGTTCTTTCCTACAATATAAAGCACTATAGAGCTCTCCCACTTCTATGACCCCTTCTCAATCTCCTCTCTTAGTAAATTAAGCAATCTAACTCTTCTTGTCATCAAGTAGCGGTTGCTTCTCCAGTAGAATGCATCCTATACCATTAGGAGAACCTACACACTACTGCAGTACTACCGAAATACCGATGTAGTCAACACAACACGACCACCCATGAGAACCTCACAAACAAATGGAAATTAAACGAGAACTGCCCACTCCATGGCCCGTTATAATCGGTGAGAAGAAAAGTGAGATAAGTGGCCCAATATAATTATGTGGCCTGTTACCTTTTCAGCATTAGCAGAAGAATAATCTCTCCTTAGCCATCAATGGGTGAGGTAAGCGAACATTATCCGTTTACAGCTATGTTACAGCAAGAACAACTCAATTCACTTCGTTATACTGTTCAACATTAGCTTGAATAGCATCAACGATTCAACGGTCACTTAGTCAGCTGGTCAAACTAGTTTGCAAACTTATAATTGTCATATGCCTTGTCTCTTCTTAGATTAATTGTCTCTCCCTCTCTTTCTAAAGCGGTAATAATTTTTTATAAGCAATCAAGTCTTTGAAACTCAAGTGGGAGCTCCATAGTCGGGCTACCACCCAAAGATTTATGGTTGAAGAATTCCTCTCACCTCAAGGTTATAATCGATTACATAGTGGAGTTTCCACTTCCCATTCTATGGCTTAGACTTTCCCCTTGGGCTGGAACCCACTCCTTCTCAAGTCTCATAAGAGCTAGTCCACATAAATCAGCTATTCAACAAATTAAATGAAGAAAAAGGAACAGCTCCATTTGATGTGGATTAAACCACGTTTTTCAGAGGTTGTGCAAATTTTAAACAAAATAAAGGATACCAACTCAAACCCTAATTAAAATCCTAAATACTAATTCTAAGGCTAAGGCCTAAAATAGGAAAAACCCTTTCAAGTGAAAGGTAAAAAAAACCTAGAGGCAAAATCTAGATAACTACTAGAAACAAAAACAAGAAATTCCCATATTGAATATGCATCACCTTTACATTAATATACCCCATAGGGCACAAAATAAGGCTCCTAGTTCATGAAGATCTAGTTTGTGCTCAAGGAACTTGCTCAGCTATTTTCCTTATGTGACTCGGTGTCTCCTTGGAACTTCCAATAATTAATGTTTTCCATCTGCCACCATTAGTACAAGCTGGATTCTTGGATTTTAGCAATGCATAGCTCCTCCTTAATCTAAGATTGCAACAAGCAATTATGTGTGGTTCAGGGACTACCATTATAATTCAAGGCATGTAGCAATGTGTTTATTTTTTTTGTATGATTGTATCACAAGATCTTTGTCAAGCAAGCCAATCATCTTTATCAATCCAAACCAAAGAAAAACAAAACAAAGCAAACTAAGCAACGCAAGATTGAGGAAACAAAATAAGATATTCGATAGTCAATTCATAAAGTTACCCTAGCAAGCTGATTCTTGGGGACCGGCAAAGAATTTGGGGAAATTTCCTCCTTCACGCGGCATGGAAGAGTTGGTGGGATAAGTGTAGAAGGATGAGAACTAGCTGGCATCAGAGGGCCAGGATTACTGGACTCCAATTCATTGTGAAGCTCACTAATCCTTTCCAAGAGCTCTTTTAAATAATCAATAGCATCTCCAAGTATTGAGGCTCTGTCCATCTGCAGGAGGAATATCAATTATCAAATACTATTAGTGTTTTTAAATAGTGCGAATAGTGGACATGAGAGTATTGTACTACATAGAGCAGTAAAAAGAGCACATAATAATCCACTGTAAAGAAGAATTTGTTGAACTAATCAACTAAAAGAATTATCAAGTCCTGACCACAAATGTAATCAGGAAAAGATGTATCATAAAAGGCATCCAGGACATAATTCATACAGTATAAACCAAACAATACTCTGTAGAAGTTGGAACTCGTGAGAAGCAAGCAGCCATCTAGCAATGTTTTATCTATCATCAAAGCACTCCGTATTTCCGTAATAAGAAAGATTTCCACATCAAGCTTTGGGATGTATCTTCCCAGTCTAAGGAGCCTTAGAAATTAAGTCTAAAAATCCTCTAGATTTATAACAAGTTATTTGCAATAGACCATGTGACCCCTCCAGTGGTCTTCACCTACTCCAGGAGGAAAAGGCACACTAAGAGAAAAACCAATGGGCCTTTTCTAACAACAAGGCAGCCAAATACACTTGAGCCAATCAGCAGGAACCAAGTGGCAGTGATTGAGGAAGAAGACAACAGCACAAAAGACAAACTCAGCAGCCAGTAGGATCTCCTTAGGGAATTGCATTGTACATATCAAAAGGGAAGAGAGTAATTGATGAGGTAGGCAATTTGTGAGTAATCTTTGTTAAGCTAGGTAACCTAAAGTTACCCTATGAGAGTTGTGGGCTAAACCCACTGTTTGTAAGAAACCTTTTGGCTTGTGCTTAATTAAAGAATCAATCTTTCTTCCTCAAATTTTGTTGTTTGAGTCTTTGTTTGTGAACTGGTCTGAATCTATTCCATTACCCAATCTAAAACAAGCAAAATCATCTGCTGACACAAAACTCCAGATAAACCAGGTAAAGCTAGACTACAGGGTAATAGGTTGATCCAGTGAAGTTTCGCTGATCCCAAACGCCATAAACCCTCTAAAGTACCACCTTTACCATTTGAAATACCACCCCAACCATCCAAAAGTACTACCAAATATGCACCAGACCAGTCCACCACAATTCTCAAATGTACAGGCCTACAGAATCAATGTAATACCAAAGTCACAAAATATATGGGATTGGATTATTTATTGATCTCCGAGAACAATAAATAGCTCCTCAAACTAGACCAAAAAACCATCAGCATCATTCCAACCAGTTACTATCATGCATGATCCGGTCATCAACAAGCTCAGAACCCAGTTTTTAACTACAAAGCTTATGGTTATGAGATTATGTTACTCTAATGATCACAACCTAAAAAAATGGTTGAACCCTGTTTAAAGATCTAACCTTTTTGTCCCCACTTAGCTAGCTAACAAGTTATAATTCAAATCACAATCATTAGACCACTTCCAATGATGAGCAAAAAAAATGCTTGCCCACTATCTCTCTACCCACTTTCTCTCTCAACAAATCAGTTTTGCCCATGGGCAATTTTTTTTCACAATTTCTCTCCCAATGGTGAGCAAAAAAATGCTTTCCCACCACTCTCTCTCTCTCTCTTACTTTTTCAATACCCCACCATTACTTTCTCTCTCCTACACAACACTTCTTTATTTATTAATTTCATTTATATTTTAACAATATTACTCCAAAAAAATAAAAACTAGTCTAAATTTGTGTAACTTTTTTTTTTTATTTGTGTCGTTTTTATCGTTAAAATAAAGAATATGGAGGATTTATGGTATTTCTGAAATTATACCAAAATATACCAAAATGCATGTCTATTTATAGAGAATTAAATTTTATGACCGTTGGTAATTTTAATTTTTTTTAATAAATATTTATTTCAGAATTTGCATTACAAAAAATATAACCATTGCAAATTGTGGGGCCCACCAGAGCACTATTCACTTGCAAATTTGCCCAAGTCTTGGGCATTTTAAGAAATGCTCATGGGCATATTTTTGCATTTCTTCATTTGATCACCATTGTAATGCATGAGCACATTTTTTGCCCACCCAAAATGCCCATGAGCATATTTTTTTATCACCATTGGGAGTGCTCTTAAAAGCAAACCAACTCAATCAAATATATACCAATCCTTTTCGGTTCTTCTGTATAACTTGCAAAATTAACAATGTCTAACAACACATAGTATCAACTTCAATCATCCACAGAGAACAAGGCAATCAACTAAAGTTCATAAAGCTAGTAATCATACACACATAAGATTATAAGACCCCAAAACCAAAAGGTGTCTGAATAAATAACATCCAAAATAAAGTCAGCTAAACTAAAGATGACCCTGCTAATCTTAGGCAATAATAAATAAACCAAAACAAAATTGGCTAAACTAATGCTGACCTTGCTAATCTTAGGCACAACAGACCTAAGCAAATAAAGGCGGTCATTAAGCTTCTTCCTCCGACGCCTCTCCGCCATCAAATTCTTCGCCGGCAACCCCTTCCTCTTTCCCTTCCCCTTCCCACTACCACCACCACCAGTCACTAAGCTATTGGTATTCGAGTTCGAAAAATTCCCGTTATCATCATCATTAATACTATTATCATGATTCATAGTAACATTATTAGTATTATTATTATTGCCAACATCACCTTCCTCAAATTGTTCATCAGAATCATAATTAACCATTGAAACCCCAAAACTCCCTTCAACCTCATCTTCCTCAACATCACCATTACCATTATCATCCCTTTTTCTCTTCCCTCTTCCTCCCCAAAACCCACCACCCAATTCCCCTAACTTATCCGACCCGGTAGAGCTGGACCGGACCATAAATCGTTTCTGAAACAAACTGGGCTCAACCGGACCCGGCCCAGTACTCGGGCCCACTTCAAGGGGCATCAACATTTTCACCCGGTTCCCAAACAAAGTAGGATTCGAATCCAGACCATCTAACCCAGAGTACCCAAACCCAGGGAACTCGAAGCATGAACCCGGTTCAGTACGGTGAACCGGAGGAAGAAAACCCGGTTCGGTGCAGAAATTATAAGCGTTTGATTCAAAAGGACTGTTATTGTAGAACGAAGAGAGAGAAGATTTAGCAGCAGAAAATGGGAAGAACGGAAGTTGTTGTTGCGATGAAGATGATGATAATAATGGGTCGAATTGAGGTTGAGAAGAGCAAGACGACGTCGTTTGAAGAGTAGAAGGAAGGAGTAAAGCGTCATTTCCAATTTCTGATGGTGGGGTGATAATGTGACCGGCGGCGAGGTACCAATCACCACCGTCAAGTGGTGGTGGTTGTTGCTGCGGATGCGGTGGTGGTCGTGTCCATGAAACGGCGTCGTTTTGGTCAGCTGTGTCATCGACCCATGCGACGTCGTTTGATCTTGAAAGCATTTTTTTGAGGAGAGAGAAAGTGGGTTTTAGGAGGAGAGAGAAAGAGAGTAAGTTAGAGAAAAAAGGAGGGTAAATTAGAGTAACACGGTGGTTCAGTGAGTGCCGTGCACGGTGGTGCGAGACACGTGGTTTATGATTTATGGAGGCGCTGCTTCATGTCACGGGTGTGTTGGGTTGAATTCAATTTTGAGATATGGGTTCAAGTTTCAACTTTTTTAGGGTATTTTCTCATGCCACATACAGCTATTGTTTTTGTCTTTTCTCTCTTCTCGGCCGACCTACTTACTATCTACGGAATAGGTTGTATGAAAATGGATACACATATGTTAGGATACAAGAGTCGAGATAAGACCAACCAATAAATGACACAACTCGGGCGACCTACTTGCTATATACAGAATAAGTTGTATGAAAATGGATACAGGTATAAGAGTCGAGATAAGATCAACCAATAAGCGACACAACTCTACTACTTATACTAAATCTAAGCACAGTCAAATGTATGTTGTTACTTTGTTAATAATAAGAGTTTCATTTATTTCATGATTGGTCAAATGTTCAAGTCCTGCCAATTCCGACTCTTGGGGATGTGAATTTTTGTTCCTCTCCCTCCCAAGGGCTAACGTTTTCAATATGTGTATCGTTAAAGACTTTATTTGTTTATTGTATCATTTAATTGTGAATTAAGTAGTGACAATCTTGAAAGAGAAAAATGAAATGAAATACATTTGTTTTTTTTACAAAGGAATGAAATACATACTATGAGTCTATGATACTAGTTCATTTTGCCTTTAAAGGGGTGTTTGGTTCACGAATTCTAGGTAAAAAGCTTGAGTTAAAATCATAAGCCCCTAATTACCTAAACGAGTACTACTGTGAGGTAATCCCAGCAGCAATCGGAAGCTGGCATGAATGAAACAATTATGCATTTTGATGCCATCACTTGATGAAACTGTGAAAGAGTGAAGCTAGTAAAGACAACCAATAAACATGATTCCATTAGTACATAAACTAAGGATCTAGTCTATTACTCCGTATTATATTACTCCGTAGTACGTGCAGCTAAAAAGTATGCCATGAGGCCATGCATGAAACTCACCTACCCCGTATAAAATATTAAGTGGTCCACCATACACCAAGGATGAAATTGACAATGCAATAGGTAAGAAGAATTTGATTAAGCTGTATTTATCATCAAGTACTCGATTTCAAAAAGTTAGTCCTCATCAACTGAATCGTGCTGATTTCCTCTTTGTGAGGGTTCAATGATGTTATGGTTTTATCAACTCAACATTATCGATTTTAAATAGTCCTTAGGAATGCATATAAGAATATAAAAATAAAAATATTTATGAATATACGTATGATTTTGTCATGTATTCTCAAATTAATATTTACCTATACAGTATTTATTGTGGAAATGTATTAAATGTTTACATGCATCCCTATATATCATTACCTTTCAACATATTGTCTTGCTCAATGTTTTAATATCTCTTTCTTTTGACTAGACAAGTAAAGGTGGCAATCAAAATTGTTCCAATTGAATTCAGATTTATTGAATACTGATATATGGGTGAAACATTATTGAGAATGGTTTTGGATCCTTTTGATTCTATAAGTTTATTGTGATGAGAACATGAGATAATCACTACAAGTATTTCAAAATCAAGTTCAGGTCAAAACTATTTTGTGTCGAGTGACTTTAGGTAGAGTTTGATTTTAGAATTCCTTACAATATGGCGTAAAAGATGAAACTATTGTATTTATTTTGTTCCATCATCATCATGAAACTGAGCACCTTACTAGATACGTTCTAAATCCAAATATATATATATATATATATATATATATATATATATATATATTAAAAAAAATGGTCTATTTGCTTTAGCGGTTAGAAATGGAGCAGTTAACAGCAGACAAAATTTCATAAACGCCTTTAATGGCCACTACTATTATACTCAATTTTCTACCCCTATTAAGTAGTAACTATGTAGCTGTTAGACAATTTAGCCACTCTTCTGTATAGACATGAAATTCAGACAATCTATTTAAATAGACCAATAACAATAAAATAGACATGAAATCAGGCAATCTATTTATGTCATAGTAGTTGAAGTTACAATGATGTCCAGCCAATTTCTGAGATGCATATACTGATGATATATTTAAACCTCAATCCCCCCAAAAGACATTAAAAAGGCACTACAACAAATCTGGTGGCTGATATTGATGGCCGCTGCTATCAGAAATTTATACTCCACCGCATGCAGTTGCCTGCACCAATTTTCCTGGAGAGTATCATGTATTATGGTTTTCAGCCCAATTCTGCCCTAATTCAAGGCCAGATAAGAGGGTAGGCTACGTCCCTGCATCACATAACCCAAGAAGTGTTCAAGAAACCAATATAATATATAAAGTGTTGTTTTCGCATGAGATAAGCAGAAACATACATGGTATCATTAGTTGGAACTTAGCCAGGAGGTTATCAAGTATCTGCTTGAGTGGTAGAGCACTCAGAGTCCACTTGGCAAGCTGTGGTTGTGCAGACACACTATAGAAGAAAAAGATGCATTGAAGTCGAGCAATGATCAGATTCAGCTAATTTCAATTTACTAAAGAACTAAAGGAATTTTTAAAGGACCAATCAAGGGCTCACTATGCTTCAGTCACTATATATAAGTAGCTGAAACTAATTCACGACTTCAGAATACCAGAAAGCATGTCTAACTAATCAACAACAAACTGCATGTCCCCAGAATATCCCATGTCATTCAGATTGAAATGACACAAGGAGCAAAAAAAAATGATGCAAACGAAGTTGTGGAATCAATTACATGAACAGAAGTTACTTTCTTGTACCTTTGCTTCATTGATGGGCTTGGTTTGAGCAGTAGTAATTGATTCAGGTCCAGAAGAAATAGACTTGGTGGAGCAAGCAGGCTACAATTTCATCACATGATACCTCATAATTCAGTACTACACTACCACATAAGAAAAAAGCTATTTCATGTATAGTCCTATATGCAAGAGATTTACTTGCCTCTTCTGCATGGAACTCCTGGACATTCGCTTCTTGCATTTCTGTGGAAGGGTATGTATCACACAGATCACGTTGTGAAGATGCTGCAAAAAGTAAAAGGCAACAAATTCAAAAGAAACAAAGAAGACAAAAACCATAAGTCCGTGCACCAGTTTTAACTTTTTACAAATGGTGTTGTGTTCATCAATAAAACAACATACGGAGTACTAAAATATAACCAATGTTCATTAAGTGTTAACCCCACCCCACTCATCTCTAGCTTAAGGAAGACTCAATTTTCTTATGTCAATTAGCCAAGGAAAAAGTACAAATCTTCTTCTAGACTTTCAAGTGCTATATATGTATATGCAATTTTCATTAAAATCTTTGTCTTGCCAATATAACCATCAACATCATAATTTTTCATGCCCAGGCAGAGTAGGGAGGATTGGATATATTAAAACCATGAAGTCGGGTGATTTATACAATACACCAGAATATAAAATCTTTAATAGGAGCTTTTTAGTTTTAGTTTTCTATGGAGGAACTTGACATAATTAATTCTCGAAGTCCAGAAAAAAGAAAAAAGAAAAAAAAAAAACTTTCGAATAGTGCAAGTATTCAACCAATATGCAATTCCCCAATAGGTTGAAATTGAGACATGAAATAAGTGAATATACATAAGGTACAAAGCTTACGTAGACTTAAGAAATTTGAGCCTTGGACCAGACAAGAGAAAGACCATGATCAACATATCAAGTACCTGTGCAACTTGCAAAGCCTCCCGAAGTAAGCTTTTCAAAAGATTCAGCATCCTTCCTCGTGTCAACCTTAGAATCTTCAGTCCTGGAGGCTCAATGTGAAAAATAAGTATCAGTAAATCACTAAGAATAATCAACTTCCTTAGTTTGAAGCCTCCCCCCCCCCCCCCCACCCCACCCCAATTGCTAATTTGACATATGTATTGACTGTATTCCTGAACTCTAGCTGGCAAGAAAACAAGTCAAAGAAATTAGGATTTAGGTTCACGTATGTAAGTGTGATGTAAAGAATGCATGAAATAATATGAAAAACGTACATGGGATTCTTAGCATAAAAGTATTATTCTAATTTTCGGCTTAAAATAATGCCTTAATACTGATCAATTCACATGATTTTCACTCATCTACATTTATTTGTACTTACCTAAACTTATCTGGACATATTAGAACTTATTCTAGTTGTAGTTAGAGCATGAACTTCCCTTATTAACCCTTATCAGAACTTATTTGTCCTGAACTTATTAGAACTTATTTCCCTAAAATAAGTGGAAACAAGGTGAAAAGAACAAGTACTTTATGTTTTTTCCTCTCTAATCTTTGGGGGAAGGAGGGAGGGATTGGTAGCAACGTACTAGCATTTAGGAAAGCTTATAAATGTCATATAATCTCCAGATGCTGATCATGAACGACAATGAAATCCAGAGCTTGACCTTCTCATTTCCTCTCTAGGAATCGTACAAAAATTTTCCTTGCTTTCAATTATTGAGAGAAATGCTTCTTTGTCCTGTCATTTGGATCAGAATATCACAATTGGAAATATGTTGCATTCTGCAAATATGAAGAGAGATGCCATAGATTGTTTGCAATATTGCCATGACAGCTGTAATTACTCTTTATACCATTAGATGTTACCAAAAAAATGTACATGAATACGAAGTTCAAAAGCTATAGTAAATATACACAAGATTTAACAAGGTATGCTTCAATAACCTATTGAGAAAAGTATAATCCGATGACCTTGATTAGTTTTTTCTTTTTTGAGAATGTAAAATACAATGACCTTGTTGATACCACACAGCTGATCATCACATTTTATACATGTTAATTAGTTTTATAAGAATGCCTAATCTATCAACTGGCAGATGTCCAATCAGGAAATCAGTATGGTGATACGCAGTTGTCAAAATTGTTATAATCCATTCATATTAAGAATAAGCATACAGTAAAACAGGGGAACTGATTATGACTACTACGCCAAAGACCTCATTCACATCTCTGAAAGCATGCTGGATCTTCTCCAAGACAGCACCTAAACTCTTTAGTTCAGAATCCAAAGCCTGCAGTGGGATATAGAAAGTGAAAATTAGAGCAAGGCGAAAATTAATCAAACTGAAAGGATGAACTACAAATAACATGAGCGAGCAAAAACTCTGTACCTGCTTCTCTGATATTAAATTTTGTATAATGGCTTCCTTCTTTGATAGAGTTTTCTGAAGGTGACAGTAGTCAAAGCATAACATTTTGGAGATTGTTCACATATAAGAATTTAAGAAATCACTTAAATTGCTCTAAAAATGCATAGATCAGAAGGATATAGTTTCCACTTGTGTTTGATTTTTGTTACTAATTCTCTGTGCTTCAATATGTGCTTCTAGCTCAGAAATAATCTTCTCTTTTCTCTGGAGCTCATCCTTGTATATCCCAAGCCTATTTTCCATTTCATTTATTTTTCCTGCATGACACAGCATCAAACACTGTTTAAGCCTGAATTAATCAATAAAAGATTAGGTCAACTGACGAGCTACAGAATAGCAATTACCCATAAGAGCCTTCTCGGTTTCAGGAAGTCTGTCTAACTTTCTTTTTAAGCTGTTTACTGCACATATAGACTTGACATTTGTTAATAATAGAAAAGGAAGACCAGCAATATTGAGCTAATTCACAAGGCTATCACTGTAACAATTCTATATAAACTATTTGCAACTAACGAAGTGAGTGATCAAAAGAAAAACTTAAGAATCAAGGTTTTTACATACCGACTTCCTCTTTTTCATTGACAACATGCCGCACACTATCAACAACTTGCTTTACATATGATGCCTCCTTTTCTATAGCATCAAACAGTAACAAGTGTGACTTCAGCTTCTCTGAGAAAAACTTGAGCTTCCGATCTCTTTCTTCAATAGAGCGTTTCATATCATACGTTGATTCCTGAAACCAAACCAATATATAATCAATGCTCTAAACCCCTCTGTATCCAATAGCAGAAGGTCCATTTGGACTACAATAGAAGTGCAATCTAAAATATTACATAGATAAATGGGAAAGTTACATTATACATTCAATGGAATGAAAATAGAGAACACTGCAGAAAACCCTATCGATAAGAATCCAAAGCTGTTACTATCGTTAAAAAAAAAAAAAAAAAAAAAAATTGAACAAATCATCCAAGGTTCTAGCCACAGTGTCTCACAGGATAACAAGATATACTATAGCATTCATTAGCCTGTTAAACATGTGGCGTTTTAAACATCCAAATGACTTGAGTCATATCTCAAACCAACTTACAGGTCCTATCTTATGGCAAAAGCCATGTTCAAAATCCGTCCAAAGAACTCATTGTAATTCACTTGAAAAAACTTAATGATACTAGACAGGTTTGCAAGTAGAGTCTAAGTTTCGACCATGAATCCATGATCCTAAGCACCAAATGTATTACTCATAGTTGGGTGACCTCTTAGTCTTATCACAAAGCCAGTTATACTTAGACTGTAGTTGTACTTATGTTCGATTTTAAGTATTAAGTGTCCAAGTGCTACTTAAATAGTTAAATGTATCAAACCCATAATATAACATCTTAAAACTCCATCAACACCAATTGATGCAAAACTATTTCACTCTCTTCAAGATTTCAGTGAAATCAGATACATGATCATTAAGTCATAAACAAACAAAATAAAGCCGCAATCAAACGAAAACCTGATAAGCAGTTACGAATTGCTCCCTTGATTGAAGAAGGCTTTGTATAGTGCCATTCAGCTCCTTTTGCTTGCTCTCAAGTAAAGCATGATCATTCTGGAGATAACTTACCTATCACAACAAACAACAATACTTAACAAAACTGAACCATTTTCTCTCACAGGAATTTCATCGAACAGTTGATGTGCAAAAATTCAAACCTTCCTTTCTAATTTCTGGCGTACTTCAGTAGATGAAGCTAATTCAGATTCCAATTCCTTCAATTTCCTCCCAAATTCCTCTTCCGAATGCTTCTGCTTCTGAAATTCAAAACAAAAATTACAAAAATACTCCATAATCAAGCTGAAAACTGAGGATTTTACAGAATTGAAAGTGATTGGAAAAACCTGGGTTGAAAGATGGAGTTGTTCCGTAGCAGATTTTTCTCTTTCCTGAATAGAGCAGAAGAGATGAATTAGAGAGGAGAGAGAAAGAAGAAAAAGGAGAGAGAGAGAGAATGGCTTACTCGAAGATCTTTGACCTCGGAGATTAGGGCACGAAGCTGGAGTTTGAGCCTCGACAGTTTCAGCAACTCCATTTTCCCTCCAAATTTGCTCTCTTCCTTCGGTTTCTACCACAGTTGACAGTCCACAGACCTTTTTACTCGTTAATTCAAATACAAGTAATATCTCCGTTCTATTAATATTGTAACAAAGATAAAATTACGCATCCTAAATATCTATAATTGTGTAAGACTAAAAATTATAAAAAGTTGATATTGTGAAAGCATTTTATGAGACGAATCCTACGAGATCCCACATGACTATATTTTGCTTAATGTATAAATTATATTATATGGTCAAACAAGAGTGATGAATACTGTAAAAAGTCCATTGTTGCAATATTAATAGAACGGCGAAAGTATTAACCATTTTTCAAATTCACTTCCTCCCTCCTAAGTCCTTAACTGCATCAACTAAGGTGTCAACTCGGATGTCTAATCGGATTCGGAAAAATCGGGTTTAGTTGGACTTATTATTTTAAAATTTAATTCATGCTAAATTATTATGTCCAAATAAGTCGACATTTGAACTTTATTTTTTTCGGGTCGGGTTAGTCAGGTAGGTTTTTAACAACTTTAAATTAAGGAAAATTTGTTAATTGCAGTCATTTAAAGTTTGTATCTTGGAAATTGCAGCCATTTAAAAAAAAATGGCAAATTGCAGCCCAAAAGTACTAATAAATTGTAAATTGCAACCCAAATTCAATTATTTCATCGATTTGCGTGTCGAAAAATATTCCGTAAAGGTTTTAGGGGTCATTTTAGATCTTAAGGAACCAAAACGAGCTCGGAATTGGCAAAAAAATTAATGTAAGGGCCTCATTTTCATGGAAAAAAATAGTTACACACAAATCGATACATTTTTTATACGCATAACGAAGCACTTAAGTTACTTTTTTTTTGCAAATTTCGAGCTCAATTTGGGTTCTTAAGGACTAAAATGACCCCTAAAACCTTAACGGAACATTTTTCGGCACGCAAATTGATGAAAAAATTGAATTTGGTCGCAATTTACAATTTATTAGTACTATTGGGGTGTAATTTGCAAAAAAAAAAATTTAATAATGACTGCAATTTACAAAATATAAACTTTAAATGACTATAATTGACAAATTTTTCTTAAATTAATAAGCATAGTCATTGGTTGTCCATTTCAATTGTAATCCTATTTTTTGTTATATTGAATACCACTACTCCATTTCACCTATGATTAACCCGTGGCCATTATTTAACACGATGTCATTTAATGTTCAAAACCTTGAGAAGTCATAGTTATAATCTGGGCATGCATTTTATGTCCTAAAGTCTCGACCATTTTTCATTCTTTAAACATTTTTTTTCTCTCTTGATGCTTAACCAAAATACTCCATAGTCCTCTCCTCTCCTCTCTTTTTTAGGGTTTCAGTATTTTTGGCCGTTAAATTAGACTATTTCCGATTCTTTTTCTTTTGTTTAATTCAGTTACTTGTTACAGAATATTTGTTTTGTTTTTCTTTGTTTTGTTCTCTCCATTTGTGAGAGTCTGTCCCAGTTTTTTGGGTTTTTTTCCAATTTTCTAGGATTTTGATTCTCATCTATGGATGAGAATTTTATTTTTGGGTTCTGATAATAACTGAGAAGGTGACTTGGATTTATATGGGTTTAGGGTTTGTCATCAACTCTACGATCAAAACATCAACGCATATAGATTGTGAAGGTCTCTACTTGGAAAGAAGAGAAGACATCGAAAATCACTATTCGCGTCAAGTTTGAAGCGATAGAGTGTGAGCTATGCCATACATGCAATAGTTATGATTTTGATTGTAAAATTAATGTTATTTTCTCTAAATCTGTGATTTACAAATCTTTATCATTATTGTAGATGTTGTATGACTGTTTATTAATAATAATATTCTTCTTCCCATCAAAAAAAAAAAAAAAAAAAAAAAAAAAAAAAAAAAAACTCTGTAGTCAATGATTAGCCTTGCTCTAAAGGACTAAGGGTAAGTTTATTGGCGAGTCTTGAGTGGAGTCTTGACTCAAAACTCACATACAAGACTTTTGTTTTTTGCAATAATGTGGTGCAAGACTATATGTAGTCTTGAGATGAGTTTTGAAATTTAAGACTCTACAAATTGAAAAAGAATTCTGATTTTTTTTGTTGGCCAATGATGAGCTGCCAACTCATCAACTCAAAATAGTTATAGATATTTTAATAATGAGTGTTAATATTTTTTAGGAGGGTAAGTGAATCTTAGGATAATGTGTTAAATTGGAGAAAATTTAGTATGAATCTAAATCATAAAAAATAATTTAAAATTAGTGAAAAGTTAACGTGGCAGAGTTTGGTGTGTGAGTTTGAATCTTGGGATAAACTTACCCTAAAGATGCTCGCTTAGTTACTTACTTGAATGAGTAATAAGGTATTGTCAGTTTACTTACTCGTTAAAGTAATGTAATTCCTATTTGCTTACTTGGAACAAAGAAGAATGAATGACACATTCTAAAACTAAGAGCACGCTAGAACGTGCTCCAAAAGGTGTCAGCAAGTGCGTGGAGCCAAGTATATTAAAAAGCTGCTGAACGCGCCCCACGCGAGCCACTAAACAACCCAAAACCAAAACCAGTTTTAAGCCCCTAGTTTATTTCAAAACCAACACCCTCGTTGGTTGCTCTCGCGGGCCGCCGGCGATCAGAGTAGGCAGCCTTTCCTCTCGATCGCCGGCAAGTCCTTTGGTACCCAGCACACCGAGATCTTCACCCTCGTTTTCCGATATGGTGCTTTGCTAGCGAAGGGGCCTCACGATCTAGCAATCTGATCATCGGTCGACCTGCTGTACCGGCCTCCTTCTGTCGCGACCTGCCGGATTCCTTCGCGCCGGGGCTCAAGGTGGGTGTAGTCCCTGGACGCCCCTTTTGTTTTTTCTTGCCAGCTTTTCTGGTTTTGGTAGTGGTGCTCCGACCACGGGTCACCGCTTGGCTGAAATTTCATCCACCCTATCTCTTGCGGCATCTGATTATCTTTTAGTGTTAGTTTGTGGCAGTGTCTTGGTTGTTGCAACCTCGCTCGCCGCCTATTGTTTGACCATTGTTGTAGTCCCTTCGAGGCTTTGTGTCTTCTTGGTAGTATTTGTGTGTATTTCTTTGTGTTTGCATGTTAGTCAACTCCACTTTCGCTTTTAGAAGTTCGTTATGGACTGCTGAAAACTACTTAGCACCCTTATGCATACTCACTTGAACGATGATTTTGAAGAAAGCATCGTCAACTTTGCTAAAAATATTGCCCCAAGAATATCCTCAATCAAGCAAAGATATTGTAAGAGAGGGCAATGTTCACTTCAAGAAAGGTGAAATCGTTCTTGCTGGAGCTAAGTATGATAGAGGACTAAAACTCCTGTGTTTTGGACTCCCAAGAAATGAAGATGATTGTGTTTTTCTAAGGACTCTTGCCATATCCCTTGACTTGAACCTCGCAGCTTGTTCCTTAAAGGTTCGGGATTATGAAAAACTAAGGAGCTCTACTCGGTAGTCATTATGCTTGATGATAACAACACTAAAGGCCTCTACAAAAAGGCTTTAGCAAAGGCTTTAGCCGAAATCAAGCTTTTCCAACTTGAAGAGGCTTTTGAAGACCTTTGCAAAGCAGTCAAGGATGAGCCTAACTAGTAGAAAAAATGACATTTGCTACGGTTTTTTTAGGGGTATTTGCTACGGTTTTGAACCGTAAAACTAGTGGGCGTAGCGAAAAAGGAAAACTATTTGCTACGGTTTTTTCAAAAAAACCGTAGCCTTTTCTTACTATTTGCTACGGTTTTTTGCTTGAACCGAAGTTATTTGCTACGGTTTAGGCCAAATTTTTTTTTAAAAAAAAGTTATTTGCATTCTGTAACTTAATTAATGCAGATAGTATAATATATACGTAGTACATAAAACAAACTATTCTAATAGAATTTGTATTAATTATAAATTGTAATTTACTACAAAGAAAAAGAAGTCTAAAATTAGGCTGACAGCCCTATGCAACAAAAGAAAACATCAGCTACAACTCCTACAAGCCTTCAACAGCAGCAATGACTATCGAAAATAGCAGCATCAACATATATATGGGACAGCAGTTGCACTGGCATAATCTGAGCAGCATCGTCTGAACGAACAACTCAAGTAACAAGCACATATGTCCTATATAACCAAATCTATAAAAATAGAGAATCAGAACTCAAAAGATAACAACAAAACAAAATAATTGAAAGTTCATAAAAATGAAACTTTCAAGTCCAAAAAGAATCATAGATAAACACAAAGTTGAAAAAGAACGAGACTGTGATGGCGACACAAGACACAAGCACAAAGCCATTGATACACTGAAAGGGATTTAAGATCATTAGTAATAATAAAGGGAAGTCACAAGCACAAAGCCATTTTTCATACTACAATCTGATGCAACAAGAGGGGAGAAATATTAAATAACCTTTGCGGTTGTTGTTCAGAATGATACATGCTGGTCATCTTTGACTAGTCTGGAAAACACAAAACATTCTTTCAAGAAAAATATGTCAGCAATAAGATAAAACTAGGGGATTTCATCAAATGCTGAAGCTATGATCAACATCAATCTTGGCAGTTAGATTAACAATATTAGCAAAAGTATAGAACTAGCTGATATTTTTACTTCTATTAGAGAAGATGAGAAAACAACAAAAGGGGACTGACCCCTTGCATTAAGATATCTTACTATCATAAACTAACAAATTAATATATGATTCAAAAGAAAGATAAAGGAGAGGAGTGGGTAGATTAGAGCATAAGGAATGGCCACCAAGCTAAATAACATGCTTCAATAGAATTTGGCCAACTTGTGAAGAGTTATAAGTCTCATAACTGGAAAATATATGTATTTTCAGTGTCAGCATGATCAATATTTATTCATGTTCTAAAGCAAGATGACAAAGATCAACACAATAGTCTCCCCACTATCCTGTCTAATCATTGTTTCTATCACGAATGAAGATATTCAACCAAGAGCAGGTAAACTCTGGGAGTATGACTCATTTAAGCAAGCCAACAACAAAATCACAGCTTTATTACCAAAAGGATAGGGTTGGAAGTCATTTTATGTTTAAGTGGGTTGTTGTCAGAGGTAAGACTCAAAGTATTGATTAGTGACGAGTAGCATCTAAGAAAATATAATATACACGGTCCATGCTGTAAGACAGTGATGAAGAAGGCATAATAAATCTACTAGGATGTGCAATAAGTACCTTACCTATACCATCAAAATTGACTTTTTTGCATTGAGGTAGAAACAATATAAGGCAAAAGCAACTTCAGCTGTGACTCAAAATGTGGCTGGATACCATATTTGACAGTAGCTCTGCAACATCTTGGTAAGGATACTCTGAACTGTCCAAAACCAGCTTGTTAAAATCTTATTGTCTAGACATAATAATGCAGCAACAGATATGAGAGAATCGTGACAATAATGCAATAGCATAAGTCATTTTAATAATTTTATGACTTTCCTGACAACCTACATACTGCACAAAAAGGGATGAACTAAAAGAGCATAATTATAATATCCCTATGATGTCAACGGGAATGGTGTCTCCTTATGATGTCCAAACTAGCAAAGCAGTCTACAACAACTATTTCTATCAAGCGAAGTTCCAAATGCCACAAAAATGTACATGCACATATCAGAGATACGCAAGTTCTAAAATTCAATACATAATATAACATTTTAGCAACCATTAAAGCCATCACCTCCAATACTTAGAGTTATGATCAAATTACTACAAATATATATGAATTGAAATGATATCCACAATAAACCGTATATGGAAATAACAAAAACTCGCACAAAATTCAAACAAATTATTAATCCACTAAGCTCTGGACATGACAACACAGATCAATTGGGAAAAATCCGACATTAAAAGATTGAAAGAAACAAAAAAGCCATTTCACACAATATATATCTATAAAAGAAAAACAAAACTCAATAAATTATCAAATGATAGGAATAAAGTTACATACTCAGATATGCTTTAGAAAAGTTGTTGTATTGTACCAGTACCCCTCTATTTCCATCTTTATCAACTTTGTATGGCTTCTCTTTTCTGATAAAAATTCCAAACAGAAACAATTAGACAAAATTTTCTATAAAAAAAACTTAGAAAATATACCTAAATTAGTGGCAAAATTCAAAAGATTAGATATTTGGATCAACAAATGCAAAATAATAAAAGATTGAAAGAAACCATTCAAGCAGAGCAAAAACCTCACAAAACACTAGATACCAGAGCAAAAAGTAACCCAAAGATAGCAGCAAAATTCAAAAATTTCATTAAAATTATAGCTTAAAACACTGTAATAATAATATTCAAACCTAATAACCCTAAAACTGTTAAAATTAGAGCTTAAATCACAAGAAACAATGATAATCCAATCAGAACAATGACAAAGCGAAGAAAAAATTCAGATCTTTGCATCCAAACCCACAACTGCAACATCAACACCAATCGTACCCAAACTCGATCAAATTTCATATAATTTTTTTGCAGTTTTTGCCTTAATTTCAGATCAAATTTTGAGCTCTGTCTAATCGAGATGAAAGATTGAAGAAAAAATCGATGAAAGCGAAGATCGAACTTAAATTACAAGATTAATTAGAAAAGAGAGAAGAGAACCAAACCCTTTCAAGATCTTAGGAAGAAACACTTTCATTTCTTGATTTCCCTTGAAGCCAGATCTGAGAAGAAAGGGGGAGAGAGAGAGTATGTGTTCTAGAATACCGTAACATAAGAGAGAGAGGGAAGAAAAGAGGGTGAGGCGTTTTTTTTTTTTTTTTTTAAAAAAAAAAAAATTATTTACTAAACAAACGTTAAGGTTAAGCAATTGAACCGTAGTATTTTATTAAAAATGCTACGGTTTTCTAACTCGCCGAAGCAAATGTAGAACGGTAAAAGAGACTTTTTCTACTAGTGTAACAACCAGGACATCTGCCGTGAATTGGAGAAGATGGAGGGCCTAAGAAGTAAAGCTAGCAAGCTCACGGGCAAGAGAGGCACTAAAGACTCCGATCTGTCACATGTCTTCTTCAACAAAAAGGGGAAGATCAACAAGTCTGCTATCAGCCTAGAATCTAACAGGTTGTTTAGGAATGATGTTCACTTGTTCAGAGTGATGTCATGGAATTACCCAACATGGACGCTGCTAGTGAGATGGTGGTAGAGAACCTTATCCCTGCAAAAACTGTCTTTCCTCCTTTGGAAAAAGGGGACGATAAGGCTACCAGCTCCCCAAACAAGATTTCAGTTCGAGATGGCAAGCTAAGGACAAGATCAAGGGAAATCCATATTTTCCTTAACAGTTCGAGAGGTAATCAGCCCCTTAAGATTTCAGACGTGCCTTATTTAGACCTGAGCTAAGGGAAAATCTTGAGTTTCTTCAAACATTCTGCTGCTTCATGGATAATTGTACGGGTGAAAGAAAAGACCACTCATGACGGGCATCTCGATTCACACAAGGAAAGGACTCCAAAGTTTCTGAAACCTTGCTCATGCCCATTATGATGGTAGGGCCGAAAAGAGGGATCGCGTCAAGAAGAGCCAAAAGAAAAAGGCCAAGCGACCTCTAGGCACCGCCGTTGAGAAGTTAGATGATCATGTATCTACTAGCCTAACTTCTAGCAGCAATGAAGGTTCAAGTATCGAGGAGGGGCGTGAGCGAGGTTCCTGCGAGAGATTTAACTACCACTGATATTGCTGATGTGGAATTTGTAGGTTCTAATGAGGAAGACCTCATGATTTTTGAACTTGAATAGGCACAGTCATTTTCATCACACTCTACCTTTACGTTCTCTGTCACACTGAAGAAGCATGAAAGGCCAATCAGGTCAAGGGTGAAGCAATGGCAGACCTACAAAGTAACAAGGGGTAGCACGTGCTACCCCATACCCCTGGAAAAAAAAATTAAAAAATAAATAAATAAATAAATAAATTGTTGATCAAAGAGACCTGTTTTTATAAATAACAGGTATCTTTGATGCTGCCATAGTAAAGTCCTACCTAACTTGTGCTGCTTCCCTTGTAAACCTAAAGAGACCGGTTATGTATAAAATAACCGCTCTCTTAAGTTATGTTTTTTTTTTTCCTTTCTTCTTTTGACCTTTTTTTGGCTTAGTTGTATGCGTCAATGTGTGCATTATTAATTTTGTATTCATCCAATTTTTTTTTTCTAAAGGATCTCATTTTAAATTATAAAAAAAAAATCATAAAATGAGTAGCTTATTACTTTTAAAGACCCCTTCATTAGATGAAATTCTTCCCATTTTAATTGCACTTTTTTGAATGCACATATTTGGTAAGTAATATATTTACTACTTAGTTTTATGAGTAAAGCAATTAAGAAAATTTATGCTAAATAAAAAAATTTCATAGCTTTATATATTATTTCTTTTTATTTATAGTTTACTAGTATAAATTACCATATAGTTTTTTAACCTTATGAATAATAGATGTGGAGTACATACAAAAGTATCGAACATATAGCCATATTGACAACTAGAATATAAATTATTCCATATTTGTAAAATAAAAATTTATCCACCAAAATAAATGTTAAAAATTTAAAGCCTAATTATTTAACGATAGTGTATACGTATATAATAACTCGTTTCTACTTTTTTTTTTTTTAATTTTTTGTTCAATGCTACCCCTCATTAGAAATCTTGGATCTGCCACTGGGGTGAAGAACAAGAAAGGTAAAAGGTATTCCAGGTTTTTTTTTTGCAGGATCAAGAAACGCAAAGGAACAAGTTTGGAACACCCTATGACTAGTATCAGTGATAGATCCCCCCCAAGTCCCCTTATTTGCACCATCATGAAGTTCATAGCATTTGCAACCCTAATTTCCATTTTAGTTCTTATATTAGTTTGGCTAAGAAAGTTAAATTTTCGTCTTGTAGTCATGAGCCGTTGAGAGCTAGCCTCTTTTTTGGACCGTTGTAAAAAAGAAGAAGAAAAAAAAAAAGTGTGTGGGCCAAAGCCTTGTTCTATCTCTATATGCTTTGAGGTTGATAAACTTAAGCTCCGCCCACTAGCTAGTAGCTAGTTATGTGTCATGCTACAACCTATTTTTCATTAATCATTTTAATTATCATAGCAACGAAATTGATAGAATGGAATATTGTTACACCCAAAAATTAAATTTTTGACTTTTTCTAAATTTGACCCAATTGACCGAGGTAAATGAACTTTAGAGTCAGTGAAAGGCCTTGGGTCAGTCGATGGTAGCAATTAAAGGTGGGTTGGATTTAATCAAAGGCCCAATATGAAGAAAGGAGCGGTTTGGAGGCAAAATAGGGTAATTCGATTTTCAAAGAAAGTTGATGCCAGGAAGAATAACTGCAAAACAGTTATTGGAGTCAGCCATAACCACTCCAATTTGTCTATATATAGAGGCAAGGGAACCGTATGAAGGACATCAACAACTCAATCAACAACAAGCATTTCATTTCATTTAAGCTTTCTTCTTAGCTTTCTTAGTTTTCCTTTGGCTTAGTAGTCAAGCGATAGTGTAGTTTTCTATAGCATGTATTGAAGATCGTCTTTTCCATTATATGAACATGGAGGTAACCTCTCCTTCAACTTGTACAATTGTAGACCTGTAGACATCTAAAAATGTCTCCCCAAAACCAAACCCGATGATGAACAACCTTTCACCGCCATTATCGGCCGAGTCGAGTATTTAATCTCAGGAGTGCTTAAAATCCATATGTAATCCAACACAGCATACAAATCAGTCAACAGATCAGTTCAAGTATTTAATCAAAGCATAGTCCAACCCTCATTTCTAGCCAAAGACCTTTTAATTTATTTCATTTTATTTATTAATTAAGCCCAATTAATAAATATTAAAAACCCTAAACCTAATTAACCCCGAAACACTGAAACGGCGCCTAAATTTTTTGTACTTAATGTGAAACAAAAAGATAAAAATGAATTTAGGCAGAATTCTAGAAAAGGAACCTGCCGTGTCACAACAGAAATGCCGCGCCACGGCAATTTGTATTGTGTCACGACAATTTGCGCCGTGATGCGGCAATTTCTAGGTTAATTTTCTTCGCGACACTTCATTTATAGGGCTTCCGGACCTCACCTCTCGCATTTCCTCTATAAATACGAGGATAATTTCTCAGTTTCGGGACACCAAATAACTCTCTCTCTCTCTCTCTTATGCTCTAGTCTAAATACTTGCCTTCTTTATTCCTTCACAATACATCCCCTAAGCACTCCCCGGAGTCAGTACTTTACCCGAAGTTCTAAACTTAAACCAAGACGTGAAAGGTAGAAAAGTTTGAGGGATTGGCCCCAAATCAACTTTACTTTCATTTGATTTAATTTCTACTCTTATTATTAATTTTCCTTGAAGTTACTAACACGTTTATTGTTTTATAGTTGCAAGCAAAAGCAATCAAAGTAAGGAATCATGTTCCTTTTGTTCTTGTTATATTTCTAACGGTTTTTGTTATGTTTTTCATATACTAATCGTTGTTATTATGGTTAAATTGCTTCCAATGTTGATGCTTATTCTAATATATTGATTACCATATTGCATGTTAAAGGGAATATGTAATTGAATATAACGCCTAATAAGATAATTTGGACGACCGGTTTAGGATCCTTTTTAATCTTGTTATTTAATTGAAGTGATCACAATATTTTAGAATTATATATTGCATTAACATTCAACCAATTTAGCTTAATAATAGTTTGGAGCAAATTGAATCTTTGTTTGTGTGCCTTTGAGATCGCAGGAAATACTTTTCACTATTAGAATCGAGGCCAATACGGGCAAATGTGACTCCATGGCTCACTTCGTACCATCATCCCCGATCCTATTTTAGTGGTTCCGAACCATATGGAGTCAGTAATCCCATGGATTATGAATGGGGTGTAACCTTCACGGGTCAATTGTTGTTGCCTTTCTTTGTCCCTTATCGTGGTTGCCTTATAATGATCCGTGAACGGTTTACAAGTTCCTTACAAAATTGGTGGCGGCTCCCTACTTTGCTTTGTCCCTAATCGTATGTCAATTCTCACTTCCTATGATTGCCAAGCATAATCGCAACATGCTTAGGTAGGCGCGCTTCGAACGACGCCTACAAGACCTGACTTTCTCCTTTAATTAATGGAGAGCATTTGTATCTTTTGTCATATGTTCATCTACTAGTTTCTTTAAGCAATCTAAATTGTTTAATTTCTTTGGGAAGCTTCTTTATTGTTTGCTTTTGTTAAGTTAGTGAGGTTATCAATTCTTTGAAACCAGTAACTCGAGGGGTAGCCCCCTAATACTCTAGAATAAGATAGGGTATTTGACTTGTTGGTAAGAACAATATTTGCCTCAACAGGCATTTAATGGAAACTAATTTTCTTTTGTACTTATGAGTAGTAAAAAAAACAAGTTGTTTAAATACACGGATATTATTGAATATTGGAGTACATGAAACCATATGATTGAAGTAAAGGATGAAAAGGGAGTTATTTTGCCAAAATTGAAATAAAGCAAAATTTGGAAGAACAAACAAAAAGTTGAGCAAATGTTGGTGAATTGGTCAGCATAGGAGTGATAGGACCATGTCTTTAATAAGCTAGTACATTGTACCTAGAACGAACTAAGACAACATCCTATCATGGTGGGCTTACATAAAAGCTCATGCACAACCTAAACTTCGTGTCGATGGTAATTCTATTTAAAATTTTATGTTATTTTAATTTTAAAAAATAAATAAATAAACTAGCCAACGCACTAACCAATCTATTGTACTGATTCCTAATCTCAAAAATGATAGTAGTACTAGTTGCATAACCCGTGTCTTTCGTGTCTGACCCCTAACTCATAAGTCAAGACGACCAGCTCTTGACCTTTATTTTCACATCTCCTTCATTTCCTTGCTTTGCTAATTGCCTTTATGGCTGGTTTGGTGCATAGGGGCCATGGCCATCTTGTTTAAGGGAGCAATCATAATGTTATCGCCATGTACGTCTTCAAGTACAATAGAAAACAGCTGGTTATGTCCATCAATATACAAGTATAATGTATCATCAACATATCAGATTTCCAATTTCGAGTCTATATATAATATATACATGCATGCATACATCAATACTTCCCATCGCATTAGTTGTCATTTGTCAATAGTTCTTAAATTTATAAATTAAGATTTTAAGGGTCCATCATCATCCTTGGATCCATTAATAGCATTAATCTATATGGGACTTCTAAACAAGTTCATGTATGTGTCATGTATATGATGCTCTCATCATTCAACAAGTCTTTCATTCTATATTTCCATAAATTTAGAAATGTGAGTACGTCACAACATGGACTACATACTACACTTGCAAAAGTTATGTTTTATCTATTCAAATTAATCAGACATACGTATAAAAAGAATTTGATCATAAAATCCATACATTAGATATTAGTATTGTTTGGGGTAAAAATACCCTAAACACGTGGCCCAATGGCCTAGTGAC